CAATTTATACCAATAATCTATCAGAGAACATATCAAGATAATTTAATGAACAAAAACTGTATGTTCCTTTTTTCCTTTTGTCATGTGACTGAAAATCATTTTAACTCATTAACACTAATTATCTCAACAGTTCAATTTTGAATTCACCAGGAAGCTACTAAATAACAAACTGAAATCCAAATATCTTCAAAATGTATTTTAAGATGCACACAAACAGCAATATCTTTCTTCAGGTTTGTCTTTACCAGTGCACAACTTTCAAATAAACTGATGACAACTGCTCACTTCTGCACTCTTGCAGCTTTTACAGCATCTCTGGTAAGTCTGTGGAAGTTTCCATCCCATGTCACAATGATAACATCCAATAGCAAACCTTCCATTCAAATACATCTATGGACATTGGTGCAAATTCCTGAAGTGCTGGAATGTAAAAGAGCAAATAGAAAGAAGCACCATCAGGGGTGCTGCCAACAACGGACTTCAATGAAGTTAAAGTCAAGGACAAATGTTAACATAATGTGAACTGTTCACATGACCACAGCTCTATCATTTCCCTTAGCTGTGCTACTGTTAATAATACGCCTTGGGAGTCTGAAACCACATCCCACCAAGAGAAAATAAAGACAAGATGCAGGAGATCTTCTGCAGTGGGTCAGGACACTGCTAATGCTGCAGTTACTCAGCAGCTCAGAGAAGACTTGGTTTGCTGCTGTACAGCAAGCTCAGAGTTTTGTAATGCGGGTAGAAAGAGCAATTCTGGGCAGTTGGGCAGCTGATTCATTTTGAGTGTTCACATCAAATAATTAAAAAAAAAAAACCCACAAAGCAACAAATCTACACTATTGATACAAATGCTGAACGTGAACTACTTGGCAGCACCTCCTAAGAGAGGGGGAACCTGCCCTATAGAACACCCGCCCAGCTCGGTGAGCACAGAGCATGCTGTACATCTGCTGTTCCACTGCAGTCAAAGGGAATGAACACCTGAACAGACAATGCCTGGGGCATGCACAGGGTGAGGGGATACAAATGCTCTGCCAAGGGCAAAGAGGGTGAACAAGCATACACCACAGGCAATAAATAACCTCGTCAAAGCAGCAGACAAAGTTCTTCTCATACTGAAAGCATGAGTTCAAACTCCTGGATTCCAAAACTCTGCACTTACCCTAACTGCTAGCATTACTGCAGCTGGATCAGACAGCCACAGCAGCACGAGCTCATTAAGTGTTTTATATTTGGGCTACGTACATTATATTGCTTTAATCCCATCATCAATAATTACGCTCCTGCCCAGAAAACCCTTTATTTTCCTTATAATTTCCCTTGACTTCTATCAGAATGGCAGAAGGAGGCAGCTGGCAACAAAAGTCAGCATCAGCACGCAGGGCAGTAGAGTAAGCAGGACCAGGGCTCACAGCAGCCAGGATCCCTTCCCACTGCCACCTCAGGCATAACTCACAGGACAGAACTCCTTCGTCATGATACCATACAGAACAACAGCTCCATTCTGTCTCATCTCACACTGTATCTTCAGCATCAGAGGGCACATAAAGATCCTTCTGAGCAACACTACCTCAACCACGATGAAGAAAACGTCATTTCTTAAATAAAACTGTAGAGGAGAAAAACAAATCTATGAAGACCTGTTCCAAACCCACTATGTGCTTCTGCACACCCTACAGCCACAGTAACTTACCTGCATGACTTCTACAGAAGCAAAGACAAAACCACTTAGCTCTTGCACTAAGATCACTTTAAACTTTCTGTGTTTATGTCAGCACTGGTTTTTAAGCTCTGTTAAACACCTGGAAAAGGAAAGTTGTACATCTGTTTGTATGTGTACTTAAAGCACTTCACAAGCTGTTGAGTTCCCCAACAGCTGTTTCTATTACACGAATGACTTCACCATCTGCAAAACTATTGGATAAACTACAGTAAGTAAATATCAGGATAGCAGGTGCTAATAAATAATGAGAGCTGCCAGGACAACACAGTTCTGTAAGGAAAAGGTCTGTGAACATCATTTTCACCACAGCTCCCAGCGCGGCTACTTAATTCCAAAAGCTTGGCCATGCATCCCACACCCAGCCAACAACAGGTATTCATTTGACCCCACATCAAAACAAAGCTTTTCATCTCAAGAAATAACTACTGCAACAGTTTGGCAGTGCTGTTATCTAAAGGGCTTTGCATGGACCAGGGTATGTGGTAGGCTACTGTTAGAACTGGCCAAGGCTGTTCCTCCCAAAGCAGACATACTGATACAAACAGATACCAAAAAAATACCTCAGCTTTTATCCAAGCAGACTTGGAGGAGGATGTTGACTATCCTATGACTGAGGATAACTTTGGAAATGCTGATTTAACTCATTTTCTTGAGATGCTCACTGTTTCAGGTCTCTAAGTGTTCTTTCAGCTTTCAGTAAAATAAATAATTAAAAAAGAATGCAGCAAAGTCTTTTTTTTTTTCCCCCAAAAAGCATACAGTACTTTGACACACCAAAAATCATTCACCGCTCAGCTATTTTTACTGACCTTCCTTATTACAAGCTGCTTTACTACCACACTCCCACGCTTTAAGAATAAACAAGATGCACTGAAACACACAGTAGGAAGTGTGCATGTGTTCATTTCCCCTTTGTTTCATGGATGTCTTTTAGGAATTGCACCATAGCCCCAAAACTCTACTCCATCTATCCTTCCCTGGCAGCTGTACAGCTACTCATGTCATAAGCAATGCGTGAACAATCAGAGAGAGGAAAATGCCCTTATCTCAGCTCATCAAAAATACAAGCAAGCAAGCCACAGAGGGTCACAAATTAAAAATTAAATGCGTATTGACACAACACCGCACCTAAATTCTCCCTGCCAAGCAACGGAAAACATCAGGCTCAAGTAATAACAACAAAAGGTGGTCAAAAGAGGTAATGAAATATCACTTATTCAAGAAGTGTTTTTAACAATTAAAAATTAAGCAGCAACCTACACAAGCACCACGACAGCCCTCAACACTAACGGCAGTATCCTGCTGTTAATACTTCCAACACAGGTAACACATCTGCTGTCAGGAACAAAGGCAACCTCCTCCTGTCTGCTGGTTACTACACACCTTAGAAAAGAAGCTAGTAAAATTCAGAATAACTATTAGGACAAGAGCACTGAAATACAACTTCAGCAGTCCGTTTTAGTTCTGTTACAGAACTAAACTAAAAGATAAATGAAAAGGTAGAATCAGCTTCCCAAGGAGGCTGTGGATGCCCCATCCCTGCAGGCATTCAAAGCCAGGCTGGATGTGGCTCTGGGCAGCCTGGGCTGCTGGTTGGCAGCCCTGCACACAGCAGAGGGTTGAAACTACATGATCTTTGAGATCCTTTTCAACCCAGGCCATTCTATGACTCTAAAAGATACTGGCTTTCTCCTGGAACATTTAAAGGCACATGTGAGTGCACAGGATGCTAACACCTCTGACATCAGAAGCCAGTATTATTAAAAAAAAAAACCAAAACTTTCCAAATCTCTGTAACACTCTTAACAAAAAACTCTGTTAGAATGACTCTACCAAAATTTTAATGATACCCTGAAGAAGTAACTTCACTGCATTGTAAGTTTTCAAGCATAAATGCGAAGTGGTTTTGCCTGAAAGTAGCAAAATAATTCTTTCTTCTTCAGAGCCAACAATTGGTTTGAGTAACAGCAAGAAAACCAAGCAAACAAGATACTTTTCTCAACCATTAAAACTGCACTTCCCTGCCCCCTATTTGCCAACCAAGCCAAATTTCTTCAGATGTTGAATTCTACTGATCGTAGCAGACATTAGCACACGTTTGCATTCTGAAGAGCAACCATACAGATATATTGTGGTATTCACACAAACACTTCTACAGAACTGTCTTAAATCTGACTAACATTAATCAGCTGGCTCAGCTGATAGCAAGGATTTGCCTACCAAGCTCTCGTGTAGTCAGAAAGCCTTCCTTGCTCATGTACTGCAATAAATAATTTAGAGTTGTTTCTTTTAATGCCCCTGCTATTTTCAGATTTATTATTCCTGCTTCCTTCTGCTGTCTGGTATGCAGTTAAGAGCTACAGCTCTGGAATCTCTCATAAGTAACAACTGACAGGAATGAATCCATCTCTTACATTTTGTAGCAGATCAATAATCCTTCAAAAAGATTTTTAAGGAGAATCTTAAGTACTAATTAGTTTCATCCCTTCTATAAAAAGTAACGTACAGATTGAAAAAAATTAGGATGGGAACAGGCAACCTGAAGCATAATGATGCTCAGACAGGGATTAATATTATTGCAATAATGCAATGTTTACTTATCCAATAAAATCAGATGTCAGAGAAGGGATATTTTCGACCAACCATGAGAACAATATGTTCAGAACAAATATATCTATTCAGTTTCTGTCCCTAGACACATTCAGCAAACAGTGTTATTCAATTATTCTCACCAGAAGAAAGTTTCTTTCAACAATTCATTTTTAAAAGCACGAAGGATGTTATTACCTTAAAAATATACTCAAATCCAGAGTTTCTTATAAAGTCAAGTGCACAGTGTTAACGACAGCAAATAGTATAGAAAGCCATCAGTATAGTATAATAGTAGAGAAAGTCATCATCACTTGTGATGATGACAATTTCCTTCTCAGCTTCCTTTCTTGAGGTAAGCTTGGTAAGGGATCAACTCAACATTCTCTGCTACAATGTTTACTGACAATCAATTAAGACAATGCTAAACAGCTAACTTGGAAACTATTTCTCAGCTTGGGAATTTAACACACCTCTCAGAAAAACAAGGGCCCAACCTTGACCTTGTAGACAAGTCTCCTTCATTGCAACACAATTTTTACCCTTGAAAATACATCGGGGTACACATTGTGCTGACCAAGTTCACACTTGTTTTGACACTCTTAGATACTGAGAGGTCTAATGCATCACAGATCACTCATTCCAGAGGAATATATAAGTAAATTACACTGATGTATTCCGTTACCTTATTTGACCATTTGTAGGCTTGAAGAAGTTGGCTGTAAAGAGGCGTTTTGTCCTGAACAGGATCCAGGCTCAGCAGCCCGCTGTTGTGCAAGGGATGGTTCTCAGATGGTTTACCAACCAGATTGCTCAGACGCTCCAGCTCACTGAAACACACAGGAGGTTTTTTTTAAGTCAGATTTGGAGATACACACAGCTGAGTTGCGCAGTCCTCCTACAGAGACAGCAACCCCGTTTAAACTCTATTTTAATACCCACGAGTGTTTTAAATACTTGCCCAGTTTGATTAAAGAAACGTAATCACGGCCGTTACCCAAACAGCTCAGAGCGGTCTGTTAGTCATAAAGCACACAGCTCTTCAGTAGAGAAAGTACAAACCAGGAGTCTGTAAGGCAGCCTGGAGAGAGCCAAACTTTGGCACAACCTGCCTGCAAACACTTCCACCACCCAAGCCATTTTCTGAGCAAAGCACCCTTAGAAGCCAGAGAACTGCAAGTTGAAGCACCGGCTGCAATACTGTAAGTCATCATAGAATTAACAAGCAGGCAGATGCCCTATTATTTCAACAAAGCACTAGAAATTAATATTGTCCTCATATAAAGACACAGAACTGGTCCTAACCCTGGAGATGGTCCTGCAAAGTTTGTGGTTGCTCTAATCAAACAGATGCATTCCAACCTCTCAGGGCAAGGAAGCATCTTTTGCTTCTCATGAGCAACAAGTACACCTGGAGAAGTGCATAAAACACTCAGCTAAGTATAAGCAGCATTTTTCCATTGGTAAAAAAAGCTCACTGTGAAAATGATCTATTATTACTTCATACCTCATTTGTCAAACACTACGTTTAATAATCACAAGAGTTAAGCATCTTTTCAAGTTTGCATTAATCAGCTGTAGAAGAAAGACTGGCTGCTTTGCCCAGATACAAAGTGCAGTCTTTTCTGAGACACAACTAATCAAATGCCTTTCCCCCTAACTTGTGAACTTAAATCCTACTATGATTGAACTCTAGAACTTCCACTAAATCAAGAGCAGGACTCAGCTCCTTACAAACGAGTGATTTATGAAAATCTCAGTGGAAAAAAAAAGTCCCAAATATCTCAGTTTGCATTTAATGAAATTAATAAAAAATGAACACCAGTGATTGGGAACTAAGTAAATTTTCCTACCACAAAAGTCTTCTTAATTAATCATCATTTCCTGAAGTATCCATGGCCTGTATTCTTTCCAAGTCTCTTGTGTTGGGAACACTTATATATATGCTTAATATTTCTTGACGCAGGTACACAGTAAAAAAATGTGAATAAACAAAATAATCATAGAATGGCCTGGGTTGAAAAGGACCACAATGCTCATCTAGTTTCAATCCTCTGCTCAGTGCAGGTCGCCAACCAGCAGACCAGGCTGCCCAAAGCCACATCCAGCCTGGCCTTGAATGCCTCCAGGGCTGGGGCATCCAATGATCAATAAATCCATTAATGTTGTGGAAAAGAGGGGTGAAAAAGGAACTTCACGATGAAGCTACTCTCATATCATGTGTTAGGACAAGGACTAATTGCAAAGAGATGCTGAAGGACTGCACAGCATTGAAACACTGGATGAGAAACTGCAATGTAAAGAAGTGTAACAGAGCACATGTGAAAATACAGCTCAGAGCCTGTTGCTATCCATTATTGTTTGGAAGCAAGATGTTGGGGTTAGACCAGTTAGTTCTTTAAAATGCTACTGATAAAGACAAGAAGGACGACCAAAGGGAAGGCACAACTTCCATGCTGGGAACGACGAGGCCTCTTCTAGCAAGACAAGGGGAAATGGTTTGAAATTGAGGAATGGAAGATTTAGGTTGGACGTCAGGGGGAAATTCTTTACAGGGAGAGTGCTGGAACAGCTGCCCACCGAGGTTGTGGATGCCCCGTCCCCGGAGGTGTTCAAGGCCAGGTTGGACGGCTCTGGGCAGCCTATCTACTATTAAAAGTAGTGGAGGTTGGTGGCCCTGCACGTGGCAGAGGGGTTGGAGATTCATGATCCTTGAGGTCCCTTCCAACCCTGGCCATTCTGTGATTCTTCAACTAAAAAACAATAAAACCAAAGGGATACGACAGGAGCCCATTAAGTTGTGAGCAACATCATTCATAAACATGATTAATGGCCTTCTTTCCTAATTGAAGGGAACAGGTAGGCAACAGGTGACATTCACTGAGCACCGACGTGCACACTGCAGCCCTGAGCCCTTTGGGGGCTGCACAGCCCAGCCGCTCCCACCAATGCTTCTGAAATGTATCAGCCTACACTGCACAGCCACGGCTCTGCACGTCAACCTCTCAGCTTTCAGTACAGCTTTGCATCACCTGGGTGATAACGGTTACTCAGAGCCAAAGAAATGCCCGCTTCTCGTTTTAACACAAACCTCAAGAAAACAGAAGAAAATCCCCCCACCCTCCACCCCGCACACCTGGGCACGGCGCCTCGCAGCCACCTCGCTTTGCTTACGACACAAACCACCACGAGCAGCACTCCTCCCTTCAGAGCGAAGCACCCAGGAGAGGCACCTCTGGCTCTTATGAACAGCCAAAAACTCGCCCCGCCCGCACAGCCGCCCGGCCCGGCCCGGCCCGGCCGCGCTGCCACGGGCGCCGCTCACCCCAAGTCCCGGCTGACGGAGTGCAGGCTCTCTTGGAAGGCGGCCACGAAGCCCTTCTCTCGGCCTTCCAAGGTCTCTTTGTTCCGCATCCCATCCTTCAGGCAGTCGAAGACCCGCGTCACGCTGGAACGCAGCGCCTGGATGGCGGCGATGGCTTGGGAGAAGGCCTCCAGGTTCACCCCGGGGCTCAGCACCCCGTCCGCCATCTTGGCTCGCCCGGCTCCCTCCCTGCGGCGGCCGGCGGCGGCGCGGGGCACGCTGGGAAATGTAGTCCCGCAGCAGCAGCGCGGGGCACACTGGGAAATGCTCCCTGCTCCGGGCCGGGGCCGCTGTCTGAGCCTTTTTGTATCGTCCGTTCGAAACAAACAGCTGAGGAAACGTGTGCCCGGTGCTGGGCGGTAGCCGGGGCGAAAGACTTGAATGCTGGTGTACGCATCTCTGAAATACCCGTCTTCCTCTCATAACGCTCGTTTTTCCTACCCAATTGCTCTCTTTTCATCTGTTTCCCCAGTTCTCTGCTAGCAGCATCCTAGCTACCTCAGGTGCTGGGGGTCATTGTCCTCCGTTCGACATTCTGAATGGATTTCTGCAGGCACAGAGATAGAAATAAAAGCACTTAAAATCACAGAACAGCCTGGGTTGCAAAGGCCCACGATGCTCATCCAGTTCCAACCCCCTGTTGTGTGCAGGTCACCAACCAGCAGCCCAGGCTGCCCAGAGCCACATCCAGCCTGGCCTTGAATGCCTGCAGGGATGGGGCATCCACAGCCTCCTTGGGCAGCCTGTTCCAGTGCCTCACCACCCTGTGTGAAAAACTTCCTCCTGATATCCAACCTAAACCTCCTGTCTCAGTTTAAAACCATTCCCCGTTGTCTTGTCACTGCTCTGTCCTGCAGCTGCAGGCTGGCAGGGCTGCCTCTGTCTGCCCTACACCCATGAACAGGTGCTCTTCAGCCAACAGGGTGAGGACCTAGCATTAATTATCTGATGTTTGCAAAGGCCTGTGGGATTTGGAAGTGCGAGCACTGTGCTAATAAGCACTGCTGGTTTGATTTTATGGCAGCTTCTGATGCAGCCACCAGCCCTTGGCTGAGATTGGTGTTTTCTCAGTTTCTAGAATAAATAACAACCTCTCCCATACAGGTATTAATTAAATTCGGCAAGCAGAATTCGCACAGATTCTTTACTCAGAGATGTTTTGTGGCTTTTTTGTTTTTTTTTTTTTTAATATGTAAAATGGAAATGAGGCTGCCAAGGAACAGCAGAGGTGTCAGTGGCCAAGTGAAGCGAGGCTTTGCTCTCTGCTCGGTGACACTTTCCTGTCTATCATCCCATGGATTCTGAAAATTGCATCTGATCAATTAAATGTTCCCAGACTACATGCAAGTTACTGACCAGTGAAACCCTATTACTTTGCATAAAAATCAGGCAAATGAAATGGGTATGCTCCTTCAGCTCTGATCTAAATAATGCTCTCCTATCTCAGCACAGAGGTAAAGCAGGACTGGAAGCAATATGGTCTGAAGCAATACAGCTCAGCCCACGTAAGCAGTGAAATGTATAGTGCTGTACTGCAAAGAATCAGCAGTGGATTGAGTCTATGTCTCCTTTCAGAAATGAGGAGTCAAGTTCTCCAGCCAAAACTCCCTTTCCCTCTTATTTCTCCTCATTTGCCACCAATAAAAGCAGAAGTCTGCATAGTTTGGCGTGCTTGTTTTTAGGGCATGCCTTGCCTAAGCTGCACACTGCTTCTTTTCCCCCCCAGAAAATATTCCTTGTGTGCCATCTTGCCCCTACCAATACAGTAATTCCATCTTCACTACAGCTATATCCAAAGCTGGCATTACAGAAAGCCAGGGTATCTCCTTTTGCCTTAATATCACTAGTTACACATAAAACAAAAATCCAACTGGTGTTCAAAATGTGCACTGCTCCTTCCTATCTGACAGCTGTTGAGTGGGCACCTGCAAAATGGTGTGGGTGGCCTAGGACACATACCCACATCTGAAAAGCATCAGAACTGACATTCTTCAAAGCCTTCAGGACCTGGTGATCTCCCTTCAAATGAACAAAACAAAACAAAACACACATGGGCTAAATCCACACTGGGGTGCAGAGATGCAACCAGCAGCTGCAGGCATGGAGCAGCCTGCTCTGTTATTTCAGCATTCTGACCAGCCTAATGCACGCTGCCTCTCAGCACTGCTCATCAGCTTTGGCAGACTGCTATGCCAACATGATTACACTGCAGCTAGCCCAGTTATCTTCACACACTGCTGCTCTGTGCCATGTGGACAGACTAAGAGATGGGATGGAGCAGGCTGCAGTGTTCTGCCAGTTCTGGATGTGTTTTGTGGCTAGAGACAGAACTGAATGCTGCGTGCTGCCTGTCTGGTAGTGTTTGTAAGCTCTGAACTCACGTGGAGAGGTGTGAGGTGGTAGAGGAAAAGAGGTAACAACCCACAGCAGCACTGAATGCAGCTTGACAAGTAAAGCATGCTTCTCTCAAGAAGCAAAAACTTATCTGGGGAAGATGTAATTAAGACGAACCTTTCACACCAAAGTACATTATGGTACTCATATGGCAGCTACTAGGAATTAAGTGGGCTGTGATTAATCAGCAACACCAAAGAATTGGGATGCTTTCTAAATCCTTTCAGAAGCACTGAAAGTCATTTGTTAGGGAAGAAAGGGCCCAATTAGAAAAGCATTCGCATTTAAAAAGAAATAATTTAGTTGCCAGGAGAGAAAACTAATGATCGCTACTGAGTTTCATAGCAAGTGCAGGTAGCCTCCCTTCAATGCCTGGACAAGACAAGACAAACATTGCAGTAAATATTGCAGTGTACGTAATAAATCACACTGTAGGAAACGATCTTCATCTTCCTCTGAAATAGATAAGTGCTGATCTTCATTCCATGGCATTCTGGACTGATACCCACCAGCAGGGCCCCTCCATTTCTTCATGCTTCATCGCTACAATCTTGACAGTCTTTCAGATAAATGCAATAAACGGATATGGGTTTTTTGTTCAAATAATTGTCAGGCTCAATAACACTGTTAGCCAAATATTCTCGCAATTTATCCATCCATTTCTTTCAGGATTTCAGTCTTCAGTTTGCCACAGATCATACTACACAATGCAGTCTCGAAGCAGACAAGCTGTGGATTTGTGAACCCATGCCTGGGGCTTCCTCCTGGAGAAAAGAATGCATCCTACCTGTTTCTAGACTGTGTGGGAATGGCAAAGATACTTCCAGATGTGGAGAAGCCTTCATCCTCAGTGCCATTTCTTATTGCTCCCTGAATCAGAATCTTCCACTATAGCCAAGAGCAGTGAACAAAAACCTTCTGCCAGAACAAAGAGTGAAACAGCAAGCAGAGCTGACAATAATGTGGTTATCATCACTTTTCCTGTGGGGTGATTGGAATAACTCAGAACTGTTTCAGGCTCTCAGGAGACATAGCTCTTACTAGAAATGACCTTCCCTCCCAACACAGTGTATGGAGAGCACACCTGGAGACTTCCAGTCTCCTTAGGGGTCACTGCAAGAATGGGAATCACACTTTTGGGGTTGCTGATCAGCTCCTCGACCAGTGCCTTCTTTCCATTTGTGGTCATAGAGTGCCCACATCACACACACCAGCACACAGCGGATTTGTCAGCAGAGCTGCTGAGGACTGGATGGATGATGACTCTCCATTTCCCTTTTGTCTGATGAAACCAGCACCCTTGATATCAGTTTTAAGGTGATTCAGAGAGATTTGCTGCTCTTCTGTGCTGTGTCTGGAGTTTCAGCCTCCAGGGAAGTCAACCCAGCACCTTATCCCAGCACTGAATTTGCATGAGGAGCGTAAAGCTAAACACAAAAAGTAAACCGCATCCAGCAGAACTCATGATGTATTTTATGCATGTAGAAAATCCGTCCCAAAATATGTCACATTTTACTTGCAAAAATAAAAAGCTGCTGTTTTATTCTGCAGAGGAATATACTCAGCCTCTTCTTCAAGCATTCAGTGATCAAGTGTGGAGTCTGATGTAAAACCAAATGGGAAGAACCTATCATTATTTAAAGGCTACGTAACTGCTTAAAATTAGAGCTGTGAAGGCATCGAAAAATACCAGAAATCACAGATGGTTTGCAGATAAATTCACATTGCATTTAGTCCACTCAACATCTAAAAAAAAACTCCATGCTTTTGCCTTGCTGTTCAGTCTAACTGTTCATGCTTGCTCAAAACATACTTCTGTCTTTAAATTGGGCTTTGAGTCATGTTCTGTTGCCCTATACATTCAGATCCCAGTCACTTCAGAAATCTGCACATGTATTTTTAAGTGATGCAGTTAAAATTTAATCTATTTTGCACATTTTCAAAACGACAACTATCCAAAGCAGGTTAAATAAGACATCAGCAGGGACAAAAGAGCAGCAAAAACAGCCACGTAGCTCTGCATTATGCAAGTGCCTGAGACACAATGACCCAGTTGCTGCTTCTTGCTCTCATTGATGATTCTGCAGTGTTAGAATTGGTTAAACTTGCCTCCTGTACCTGAGGTCTGCAGGCTTTTACATCATTCTGGGATAGTCCTTAATTCTGTGAATTGTCTGGTTTCATCCCATTTGCATTTTTTTCTTTAATTATTATTGCTGGGCTGTATTTTTGAATATTGTCTTACCCCTCAGGATTTCTGTCTGACACTGGTTCACTCCGCTTCCCTTATCATAGGGGGCCAGTATTTGGCACAGTCGTTCTAGCTTCACTGCCCAACAATGGTCAGCGGAATTTGGATATGATGCTTTAATCCCACCTTACGAGTTCCCTGCATAACCCTGGAGATAGGGTTTTACAGCAGGGAAGGAGAAGCTTGAAACATGGTTATTCCATACTTGGTTGGGCACATTCATTCAATGTAGCACGTCTTTGAAGAGGTGCAGCCATGCGTCTGCTCCCATGATGGTATGATGGAGCCCATCACACAATATATGGTCATTCTTGGCAGGACCAAGCTCTAACATACAACTGAGACAAGCAGAGGTTAATTTCCCCCCAGTCTCTTGAAGGAAAAAAAGAAAAAAAAAAAAAAAAAAAAAAAAAAAGACAAAAAACCAACGTGGTACTGAATGGGAACTGCTGAGCCACGGCCTGAACCTCTGATTGATCACCTGAGGCAAGCACTGAGTCAGCCAGAGAAGCACAGGGGAAGGCAATTCACCTGTGCTGCTGGAAGGGGTGCAGCCTGGCTCCTAGAGCTGTTTAGGAGCTGGCTGCCAGTGGGGAAGGATCTCTTCTGAAGATCTGCTCTGCTGGAGTTTTGTGAGTGAGGCCAGGATAGGGGGGAAGCTTTCTATCCATTCTCTTTTTGTTATCATTATCTGCTTTGCCAAACTCTCTTGTTTTGTAATTATAACATCTTAATAGTCATTGATTATACAGGTACAATCATGTTCAAAGTGTTCTAAAGATCCCAATTGGTAAATATTATTTGGGAGGAGCCTTGCTGTGGCAATGAGACCTGATACAAATCAGATTCAAGCACTATTTTTGCTATCATCAGCTTTATTGCTTCTAAGCACGAATGCAGCATGCCAAGCAACCATCCTGCCCAGCTCTGAGCTTAGCTTTCTCCATTCCACCAGCCGCATGCCAAGAGCCATTTGTTCCAGTACTCATCATAAAAGCCAAGAGATTCCTCCTAACTCTTCATCCTAATTAAGTTACTTGCTGGCTTTCATAAACACCTCTCCATCCACCAATCAATCTCAGCAGGATTTTTAACAGATGAAATTGGGCTGAACTGCCTTGAAAGCATCAGCTACCCTACAACAAAGTCTTGTTCTCTAATCTTCAGCTTTAGTTACATTCCTCCTTTAATTTCTTCTCCAGCTGTAAGAGAGAGAGGCCAACAACAAAGATAACTTCAGTCAAACATGTTTAAAACTGAACGTTCCCTTCCTTTTGGCAGCATGAGCTTACACACACACTGCAGTCACACTGCTTGTGTCGCATGAGCAGGGAAGGAGCAGAGCCACGTGTGATCAGCAGATCCAGCACAAGTTGGATTTCGTTCCTGAAACTGTTATCCAAAAAAGACTTTGCTTTTTTTCTCAGGCCAATGTGGTAAATGGTGTCCAGTTAACTGAGGAAAAGGTCAGAGGCATTTTAAAGTAAAGAAAGGCCATTTCTGTCAGCTGAATCCAATTCAGAGTGATATATTATCCCCAAAGGAGCAAGAGAAGAAAAATCCTTATTTGCTTTATTTCTGCATATTCTGCTCACAGCTACCTTGCTGCATTCCTTCTGTGGAACTGAGCTGTGTTTTCCAGCAGAAAGCAGTCAGTCCTTCCTGAAACAAGACAGACATTGCCTAAACAATCATCCCCTGGAATTCGCAGGTCTTATTCCATACTTCAGTATTTAAGGTCTCAAAATAAATAAATAGAAGTGACATCCATCTTCCCTCTTAAAAAAAAAAAAAAAAAAAAAGAAAAAAGACTGAACAAAAAGATTCTGCTTCTATCTGGAGATTATTTAGTGCTCTGTTATTGACACGGCGTCTATTGAAAGATTTAAAGATAAAAATGCAGTGCATTCAAGTAGTGATCGTTTTTCATCGTCACTTAGTGGCAGTGCAGCCTGCAGTCAATTGCAGCTGATTTATCTTTTCTGATATTGATTGTGTGCGGGGCTTAGCTGTGCACAGGCACCTGGCTCTGTCTGTGCCAAACTGCTGCAAGAAATGCAAAAGGAGAAGGCAAGAGTTGTGCCAAGCAATCTTATTTTCATTCTGAATTGCTTAATTATTTCCTTTAAAGTGATGAGATAAGCTGCTAGAAGGTAATTTGCTTATGGACACCAGGCATTTCCTGCCAGGAAGAGGGAGCAGCAGACAACACAGTTTCCCTGTGTGGCTCAGTCTACAAAGTGTTATGGGAACTGGGCTTAAGGCAGCAGATATCAATGAAAACCTCAGGTATCAAAGAAACAGATCTTTTGTGTATTTGCATAAAGTGCCAGTAGCAATTGGACAGATAAACATGATGGTGTAGCAATTGGACAGATAATATGATGTGAGAGGCATTACACCAGAGGTGTAACGATAGAAGGACCTGCACGACAGAAAGATGCTATAAAGGAAGGGAAGAAGATTGCTCACCCATATCAGAAAATTCCAGGTTTGCAGGGGAAAGCTCCACCAAGGAAGGATCTCCAGAAAGAGAACCCACCCCAGTGCCAGTCAGCCCTTAAATGAGGTCTAAGAGAGGTGCAGCCAGGTTCCACCCCTTCTGGTCACATACACGAATTGCCTTCACCTGTGCTTCCATCCATGGCTGACCCACTCCTTTCCCCAGGTGCTCTATCAGTGGTTCAGGCCGTGACTCAACAGTTCCCATACAGTGCCACTCAGGTCCCAAACTTCCCATAATCTCCTGTGGCAAAGCTGCTCCTGTGTGTTCTCATGAGGATGCTCGTGACATCATGGAAGGATTCCCTTTGTCTTCCGAATGTCAGAAGGCAAATGTCTGAGAACTGAAAATATAATCAGGAGGGTTTGAATGCTCCAATTCAGAAACTCCATGCTCGATTTTTGTATGTATGAAAGAAGAATTAATTCTGGTCACCTTCTGAGCTTAGAGTGAAGCTGGAAAAAATACAAATTACAAAAAAAAAAAATCCCAAACCACACAACATTGAGATGCAGGACCTGCTTGTTCACAAGGAGCGCTGTATTGCAACCCAGACTTCTGTCTTAAGCACGTCTGCTATTTTAAACAGAGCCAGATTTCTATAGATGCCCCTCTTCACTAAAGCCAAACCCAGCGGTAAGTGCTGATACAGAGGCTGTGAATGTGATGACTGAATAATGCTTGCGGGAATCCTTAAGAGACCCAGAAAGCTTTCTCCAGAAGCTGTCATGCACCTCCCTGATGGATCACAGCTCACAAACCATAAATGCACTTAATGTGGGGAGCAGTCAAGACCAGGTCTCCAGCTTCCTACAGCGATTGCTCTGTTATGGAGTGAAAAGGCACATTTGTGCTTTTTCTCTTACCGGAAACCAGCTGAAATGTGACCCAGACACCTTTAAAGCATCTGTGTATCAGCCTTACGTATGAAGGCAGGAAAAGAAGCATGCAAAGGACTGCAATGAATGAGCAGACTGTGCAGCTTCAGCTCTGCAAGCAGCTTCCTCATCCAAGTGGTGTCAGTGAGCTGGGAGGCAGTGCTTTGTGTGCTCCCTGCAATCCTGCTAACTAGTAAGAGAAGCACAGAAATCCTGTTTTTGTCTTTTATTCCCTTGTGGTTGGATGTTTCTTCTTGAAACCTTTGCTAACTACCATGCTAAATATAGCAAAAGCTGGAGCAAAGAGGAGCTTAACCAAATTGTAGGAGGAAAGGACCTTCTCAGAGTTTCATCTGGAGGTATATGTCCATGGCACAGCATTAACAGCCACATATCCCATAAAGGAACGCAACACAGCACGGGAGCAGTGGGACACGATGTCGTTCAGGTCAATACTATTCATTCCACAGTTGCACCAGACCTTCATGTGGCTGTCATTTATCCACAATCCCTGTGGTGGCTTTGGGCTCTCCCTCTCCTGTGGATCACAGGAGACACAAGCTCTACGCATTTCTTCAAAAAAGCAAACCTATTTAATTCCTTGTGCTCCCTGCTTTTTCCTCCCACTCCTGCTAGGGAGACCCAGCTGATGAATTCATAGCACAGCAAACATTAAGACTTGTCTGCAGGAAATACCTCCAACTGAAAAGTGCATCCCTTATCCTAGAGACAGCGACTTAACCACAACCAAGCAAGCTGAACAAGTAAAACACATACGTACAAGTTCACCCCAAGCATGAACTTCAGGATGTTCTCTCCATTTTCTCCTTCCCTGTTAATCATGTGCTACTGAGGTTCATTTTCTAATCACTTCTGTAAAATCCAATCTTCTCACAGAGACCTCATCTTTTTACATTCCTCTGCAGCAAGCTCTGACTGATCCGAAATCTTTTGATTAATCATCTAACAGATTTATCAATCTGTTCTCAAGCCTGTACACGGGAGCATGCATGTTCAGCAGAGCTTTCTTCTATAACTTGATCTGCTACACTATTTTGGAGAACTGTTTCAAATTGTGCCAGCTAACTCCTGCTATTTGCAGACATGGGAGGTGGGATTGTACAGCATGAAGGTTTGCCAAGGTAGCTATATGAGTATAGTAGCAACAGGAGATTTCTTCTCCTGCAGCTCGTTCTGGTCCTTCAAATATACTGTACTAGCAGAAGGGCTTCCACTGCATCAGCGGAAGGGTTTTGTTGGTAGGACATTACTTTCAGTCTTGCAATGCAAGTCAATATAGCAACGATAACACAGCTTACAACCAGGAGTCATCGTTTTCTCCTCAGTATTCACAGCTGCCAGAACAGGAATCTGGTCACCGCCTTCGAGAATACAGAGTGGCTGAACTCTGCCTCCAAAAATAACCTGCACTTTGCATCCATTCTCTATTCTTCTCCTTGCAAGGCTTTCCTGCACAGATAACAACATTAAACAAATTAGCAAATTACTCCCTCTGCAAGAGCTGGGTCGTATTTCACCATTAGAGGAGTCTTATTTCTGCTTGGCTAAAAAGAAATCCGCAATAGCAATGTCTCCTATCCTTCATGTATTAGTGTTTCCCTTTCATTTTGTCATAGTTAATGCCTCAGCATTCCATCTTAAAATAATGTCAATAAGTACAAATCTCGCTGCTTTATTTTAGGCGCTGCTCAGGAGTGACAGCAGCACCCAGATTGGGAATGTTGCTAAAAGGATTGCTGGAAGATTTGAAAAAACACATCTAAGCTGTTCCTGAGTGACAAAAAGGGAAAAGATCATTTCAGGCACAACAGCAAGAAGCTACAAAAGCGTGTTATTCTCATCGTTGGCCTAAAAGCCAAACAAGATTCTCTCATAGTAGTCCCAGCACTGCAGTTTTGTGAGCTCAAGGTGTTCTATTCTGGCCCTTGCTGTGGGACGTTGCCCTATGACACTGACATGAAGGATCATGCCCTGAGTTCTGCACTCTGGTGCCCCTCTTTGGCTGTCATACTCAATTTTAGACAGGAAAAACCCAGTGCAGAACACTGATCCAGTTCTGTCCGATTTGTCAGTTAACAAACAGCCCAATGTATGTAAGCCAAAACCTCTGCAGGCCAAACAAATAAGACTTCAAAAACTTTCTTTCAGAGAATCATAAAACCATAGAATGGTTTGGGTTGGAAGGGGCCTTTAAGATCATCCAGTTCCAACCCTGTAGGCAGGGACACCTTCCTTCAAGTTTAAAGCTCTCTATTGCTATACAGTGAAAATACCTTATAAATGTTATGGGCCCTAGCACTGACATATTCGTTTTCTAATGCCTGAAAAAATGACAGATATCCTCTTGGCCATTGAATAAAAAGGCAAGGCCCTTTACAAGCCTACTAGGAGAAAAATAGTTGCAACAAAGCACCAAGGAAAATCCTGCCATTACTTTTTACAGCAATTTCCTTGGAAGAGTCCTCTCTACAGAGAACAGCTGGACTTAATTGCAAATGAGCTGAGTGAAGGAAGTGCATCTGATTGCAGAGGTAATAAAATTCACACTTGACACCTTAATTTTTTTAATATATATTGGCCACCATCACATCACCGCAGTTGCTGGATTGCAGGTGAAAGCTCTCCAAGCTCTGGCAGGAGAGCAGGCAGGGAACAGAACAGCTCGTGGAGTCCTTCAAAGCTTGCTGCTTAAGCCACAGCTTTTTAATGCTATTGATTCCTAACAATCGATACTTTTTTCAATAAGAAACTCTCATATTACCCTTTTTCCCAACCACCCTTTGTGATGAACTTGGTTAGGATGAAAAAGCACTTAATGGCTTTCTTTTGAGGTCTTTTTTTTTTTTAATTCCATTTCCATTGCAGTCTCCTCTTCCTGACCAAGCTCAGCCCCAGCCCTGCTGGCTGACACCACATTGCTGTGCAGAGGGAGGCCAGATCTTCTCCAGTGTCAACATTTGACCCAGAAAAACCAGTTTGTTTGAAATAAACGCAGTTGCAACCACATCAGCCTATTGCAGCTAAGATTTTTGCTTAATCTACCACAAAAAGCAAGAAGTTGTGCTTCTTCGTCATCCCTGTCATATTTCTGTTAATGACTTAGCTAGCAGTGAGCTTAATGAACAAGGCTTTTAGGTACATTTTTGCTATTATATTTGAATCAAAGCATCATTTCTGCTGGGATTCTTCTAGGATGACTTTTTCCAAAGCTTGTTGTCTGCTGTTGGGAAACGCAGCCCTTCTGCATCACGAGAATACAAAACCTTGCTTAGAGACGGACCCGAGGGAGTCAGAACTGTGGCTGCTGCCACCTAAGATTGCATAAATTCTGAGTAACGTCGCCGACTAATTGCAGGAAACTATTTCTGCTGGAATCTACACTGAGTGAACAGCAGCAGCAGTGTTTGCTGGCAGGGCAGTAAGTGTAACGAAGCTGGAATTAGCCCTAAATCTGCCCAGATCCTCCTGATAGCAGCACATGCTCCCCACAGGGAGTGGGACCTTCATCCACTTCTCAGCCCCACCGAATTTCTGCTGAAGGAAACGTCACGATGCTCTTCTCACTCTCTCCTACCTCCTAACCTGAGAGGTTTGTTCCCCAACAAAACCACATTTCTACGCACACAGTTCTTTTCCACCAACATGTTGTGAGCAGAAGCCGATGATCAGGGCTCATAACAAACAAAGGCGGCTTTTGCTTTCTCTTCTTTTTTTTTCTTTTCTTCCCAGAGTAACACTGTGCAAGGCATCCCAGCACTTCAGAAACACCCTGCTGCTCCACAGACACCTACCCTGACGTTAATGAGAGCCTCGTGGAAAGGCTGCTGCAGAATCTGTAACAGCGAGCTTCCCTCAACCACAAGAGCACTCTGTAGCATAAGCAGCAATGCAGCTATGCCCACAAGTGTGCAGGTAAGGCTGGTAAATATTTGATAGACTATTTGTTACATGGGATACTAAGCATAAATATTTAGTGTAATATTTATTTACTTTTATATCCTATGTTTAGAATAATGTTACGTCTAAAGGCAAGCGTGCATTCAGATGTTTGGTCTAGTAATACTAACAGATGTGCTTAGGTAAGACATTAAATACAGAGACCCAATGCAGGCAGGGAAA